GTTAACCTGGCGCCAGGTGCGCTGTGCCTCCTGGCACGGACGCGGGGCCCTCCGCTGAGATTCCTCGTGTAGCGGGCTGAGCGGTGAAGGAGCTGGCATTTTCACCTGCTCTCTAGCCTGGTGAACACTGGTGGCCTGGGATCCACGTGCTCTAGGGAGTGTGGCAGGGCCCTGCGGTCCCGGGTCCGAGGGCGTCCGCTGCTCCCCCAGGTTCTCACAGGTTCCAAGAAGTCCCCTGGTCCCCACTGCACTCAGCAGCCATGCCTGGGGGGACCGGCCGGGCCCTGGCTACTGCCTGGCTCCTGGCCGGTCCGTCAGCGCCTCCTCTGCACTTGACCTCCAGCAGCTTCCGGCCCGGCTGATGACCCCTTGCTGCCCGGAGCACTCGCTCCTGGGGAGGCCCGGGAGGCACGGACGGTGGGGACAGAGGCCGGGACGGCTCGGGGAGTCTGCTCACAGGATTTGTCTGATGGCTACCGTCCTTTATGTGGCCTCACTAAAGGGAGACAACGACTCCGCTGCCCTTGGGGAGGGGGCGATTTTTAAAAATAAACAAATGAGAGAGTCCGGCGCTGTGACGAAGTAGTTTAAAGCCTCGGTCTGCAGCACCGGCGTCCTGTACGGGCACTGATTCGAGTCCCGGCTGCCCCACTTCCCATCCAGCTCTCTGCTGCGGCCTGGGAGAGCAGTGGAAGATGACCCAAGTCCTTGGGCCCCTGCACCCGCGTGGGAGACCTGGAAGAAGCTCCTGGCTCCTGGCTTCGGATCGGCATAGCCCCGGCCATTGCGGCCATTTGGGGAGTGAACAAGCAGAGGGAAGACCTCTCTCTAACTCTTTCAAATAAATAAATCTTAAAAAAAAAAAAAAAAAAAACGAATGAGGTCGGAGCTTGTTTGAAAATGCTGCCGTGGTTATTCTTCCTTTTCTCTGAGATGCGCGCCGCCCTCGCCCTCGCCCTCCTCTCTCTCTCCCTCTCTCCCTCTCTCCCGTTCTCTCTCTCTCTCTCCCTCTCTCTCCTCTCTCGGGTGTTTGTCTTGACAGCCCACGCACCTGCTCGCGTTAGTTCAATCAGCCAGAAACTGAGCCGCGCGCTCCCAACACCGCGGCTGCCAGTGACAGACCATCACCCGCCGCGGGGGCCACGTGGGCGTCTGCCGCAGGGTCCGCGCGGAGCCCCCGGCAGCTCTGGCCGCCGCCCGCAAGGGTCCCAGCGCGCAGAGCGCCGCGCGTGGGCTGCTCACCGCTCACGCTCGCCCCCGCCCCCGCCGCGCTGCACTGCGCCCTCCGGGAACAGGCCTGCTGAGGGAGGGAGCGCGTCACGTGGCACACACCTGCGCTGCTGGGAGCCAGGATCTGGCCCCCGCTTGTGATTAGTGCAGTTCAGCACCGAATTTGCCGGGCGTCAGGTAAGGAGCCCTTAGTGATTACCCGATGGGCTCGGATGCGGACGCGGGGACGGGAGAGGCACCTGCTCCGGGGGTGTTTCTCAGGGCTGCAAACGCCTACCGTGAAGGGAAGCCTGAACCGTTACCGGTGTTGGCCAACAGAGAGGACTGTGTGTCAGGAGTCCAGCCCGGGGCTGCCAAGCTGCCACCTGCGTCGGGGTGTGATGTCCCCCATGGGAACAGGCTGGTGGCCGCACCCAGCAGCTCCCTGGGGACGCCCGGAGGGGAGGAGCGTCCTGGCTCTGGCCGCGTCCCAGCCCCGCTCCCCCATCTCAGACTTCCCTTCCCAGCAGGTGTGACACCACGGACAGCTTCTAAGAAGCCGAAACGCATTTCCGGTTGCGCCGTACTTTATGGGCACACGGAACCACGGCCGGTTTTTATAAAGCGTTTTCCGTGGAGCTCGGGCGCCCTCTCCGGTGGAGAGCAGGCAGGTTGAGAAGGAGGCAGAATGTTCCGTGCCAGCCAGTTCGCGGGGGCCAGCAGAGCCCAGGGCCCCACAAGCTGGGCACACCCTCCAGGGGCAGGTGCCCCCGCTGGCCAGGTCCCTCCTGAGCTAAAGTCTCATCTCTGCTCTGGGGCTGAGCCGACACTGACCACACCCGAGTCACCAGACCTCCCGGCCCCCTGGGATTTGGGACACCCAGCCAGGGCTCTTCCCCCAAGACCCTGATGGGCCCCAAAGAGGCAGAGCTGGACCTGCACCTGCACCTGGCGCCCGACTCCCCCAGGCAAGGAAGCCCTCCCCTTGGCGGCTCCTGTCCCTTCCTGCTGCTGAGTGTGTCCCCTCCCCCACCCCACCCCTCACGGGAGGCAGTACTCCTGCTGCCCTGGACATCACCTGCCTCAAAACCCCATGGTCACTCTGCACCGCCCCTTTGCCACGTGTCACGGAGCTGTGTGTTCGAGCAGAGCCGTATGAAGCTCACTGGGCCACCAACTGGAGACCGTCCGCTGGCACATTCGTATGACACACCTGGAGATGGAGGCTGGCAGGGCAGATGGCTGGCCTGGGCCACAGAGCCGCCCCCGAGGCACCAGCAAGCTTGCGGAAGCCAGGCCTGTGCACATGGGCGCGAGCAGCAGGAGGCGCGGGAGCACCAGCCAGACTGCCACGCCCCCAGGGCTCGGCACGGGCCCTGCACAGCTGCCGCGCGGTGAGCACCAAGAGGCAGAGGAAGAAGTGGCCCCCTGGGGACCACGCTCTCAGCTTGGAATGAGGCAGGGGGCAGGGGAAGGAAGCGCACCTGTCACCCCCCCAGAATCCAAGACCTGAAGCCCATAGCGGGATCAGAAAGGCTGTTCCAAGCCAGTGGACAATCGAGCCGGGCTGTGCCGTGGGGAGTACCAGGACACGTGCAGGAAGGGGCCCATATGGGGGTCAGCGTTGGGAGGACGCCCCCGGCACGCAGCCGGGAGCCAGCCACACAGGCACGGGGCTGGCGGGCTGAGGACAGGTGCAGGAAGGGGCCCATGTGGGGGTCAGCGTTGGGAGGACGCCCCCGCACGCAGCCGGGAGCCGGCCACACAGGCACGGGGCTGGCCGGCTGAGGACAGGTGCAGTTGGCTCCACCAGTTTAAGCATTGTTCATGGACTCAGCAAGCATCAGGCGCTGGTTACGCGGCCCCCCGACCCAGGAAGAGAGCCCACAGGGGGAGACACCACAACAGAGGGGCAGGGTTATGAGGAGCACCAGGGTCATGGCGCAGCCATGGTGAGGGACGTGTGCCCCAGCTGCAGGTGGCGTGGCTGCTGGTTCAGCGATGAGGCCGGGCTGGCTGAGGGCTCACCGGGCTTGTCCAGCAAGCAGGCATGCCACAGGGGCCACAGCCCAGCCCAGTGACGCCAGACCCCCTGGCCCAGCACCAGCCCAGAGCCCCAGTGTGCTCTAGACACAAGGAGCGATGCCCGGGAATGAGGCCATGCTATGCAGTGGGGCAGGGCTGGTGGCACACAGCCACTGGCCACCCACAGCCACTTGTCCCCTGCACAGGACCTGGTCAGAGAAGGGTTACAGCCCCAGGGGGGGCTCTGAACTGGTCCCTGGAGGACGGCTGCTGGCACCTGTGGCCACCAGGGGGCACCAGCCGCAGAGCCGGGGGTGTGCAGCAGGCTTGGAATGAGAATGTCGCTGACGCTCTCAAGGCTGCGTCACTCTCGGCTATGACCGTCCTACGACGACGCCACGGGGTCAACGATGCCAGGCTCGGGGGACTCAGCGGCCAGCCTGCCTCGGTGGCAGGGCTTGTCCCTTTTCAGATGCACGGGGCGTGTGCAGGGAAAGCAAAGGACCCGGTGACAACCAGGAGGCAGGGGTGGCCCCCTAAACGCTACCGTCCGGGAGCCCCAAACTTGGCAGAACGCACAGGTTTAGCTGCAGATCCCATGCTGGTCCCCCAAGTACCTCCTGGGATCTCCCTGGTCTGGGAGCTCAAAAGGCCAGGCTACCACAGGCCTGAGGGCCCTGGTGCTCAAGCCCGCTCTGGGGGTCTCCCCTGTAAGCATCAGCCTGCCCAGGACCCACCCCTCTGCCTGGCCGGGTTCCTCAGCTTCGCCCCCGCCCAGACCCTACACCCTGTCCCCACTGACTCCACTCTCCCGTCCGCCCTGCAGGCCTGCCCTGTAGCCCCACACACAAACGTGCCAACCACAGACACGCCATGAGGGGCTGAGAGGCATCCTAGCCCACGGGCCCCATGTTCAGGACTGGGAGACACCTTGGAGATGGGGTCCCCTCGCCCAGGCCCCGCGGCCGGGGGAGCTTCTGAAAGTGCAGAGGGAGGGGCGCTCCCCAGGGTAAGCCCACCCTCCCGTGTCCCCAGCTCTCCCCACCTGGAGGTCCTCTGTGCAGCCCCCAGCACGCTGCCCCTCCCCCCACCCCCGGAATGCCCGCCGTGGGCTCCGTGCCTGGGTCCCGTGTGGCTCCAACATCACTTCCTCGCACACCCTGGGGCCTGACCTGGCCTGGGGTCCCACCGATGCCCCCTCTCCCCACTGCCCCAGGGGGCAGGGGCTCCCTCTGCCTCGCTGTGCCGTCCTTGGGGCAGCAGGGGGCACTTGACCAAGTGTGGACAGACGGCTCCCAGGATGAGGGGACCTGCACGCCCCGGACCCCCCGGCCTGACCTGGGCCGCTGGGAGGCACAGGCCCTGGGCGCTGGGCCCTGTGTGACTTGCAGACGGCTCCGGCTGACCTGGAAATCCTGGAATTAAACCCCGTTTTCCAGGAGACGCCAGCTTCCTCAGGGAGAATAGCAGTGCGGCCTCTGCTCCCACGAGGAATCGGGAAGATGGCTCTGCAGCTGACAGGGGGAGGGCAGCGCCCCTCCTGGGCGACGCTGGGCACAGTCTGCGGTGGAGGCACCCCGGACCACAGGTGCACCGGCTGCTCCCAGCCCCGTCTCCCAGCGCCTCCCTTCCCTGAGCGAGCGGCCAGCACGCCGGTGCCGGTGCCGGTGTCAATGTCAGCAGGGCTCAGGCGTGTGGTTCCAGAGCGGGGGGGGGGGGGTGACCGCAGGGGCCTTCCCTGCCGGCCACACACACTCGCGAGACGGTGCAGGGAACGCGTCTTTATTAAAGGTGCAAGCACAGAACCGTGTAGCGTGCAGCAACACCCGTACAGCACTAAAAATAGAAAAACAGGAATGGGCCTCACAGAGAGCAGCCTCCCGCGCACACACTCACACACGGTGCTCCCACGCCACGCCACGCCACGCGCCACCGGCCCCGGCCAAGCCTCTCTCAGGGCAACCTAGCACACGCAGCCCCTGCACCCACGCAGAGCCCCTCCCCCAGCAGCGGCGTCCATTCCCAGGGACCACCCCAGCCCCCCGCCACAGCCAACTGCATGCCAACCGGCCGCCTCCCCTTCCGCTCTCCAGCCGCGTCTGGGCCAGATCAGGCAACAGGTTTACTCCCTCAGATCCACGGGGCGGAGGGGGACAGAACCGGGTGCCCACCCGATCTGAGCAGGGCGGGCTGCTGGACCCGCAAGGCCACTCTCCCACAGGCTCCGGTGTAGAGAGCACACCCACTGAAGACCAAGTCCCAGGATCTCCGGGTACTGCGGAGCCCCGGCTGCCTGCTCCCGGTAAGGAAGACACCAGCTCGCTGCACTCAGACACGCCCGCCCGCCCCCCGGCAGGCCACCCTCACCAGCATCCCTCTGCCTCGCTGGGGGCGGGGCGTCTGGGGGACACCCTCGCTGAGAACGACCCCACTTCAGGACAGTCGCAGAGACCTGAGCTCCACCCGTGTCCCCCACTCACGCTCCGTCCCCACCGTCGGCTGAGACCCTGCGGGGACCCGACGGCTGTGTCTTACTGAGATGCCGAGGCTGCACACACGGAGCTGGCCCTGAGACCCCTCGGCCGCCGCGCTCGCTCGCGCTCTCCCTCGGGGCTGCACTTTTATTTGGCTTACGGACATTTGAGATTTCCAGTGAGAAGCTCCGAAAAACACAACGAGGGACGCGGGGCTGCGAAAGGCGGCCGTCCCAGCCGCGTGTGCTACGCGGACGCTACGGCACGCGCCCCCGTGCACGTCCCCTGCTCTTGCGCACGCTGCTCCCAGGGTGCGTCCGGCCAGCGAGAGGTGGAGGCGCACGGGACTTGGAGCTAGTAGTGTCTGGGTGTTGTGAGCATGCAGGTGGGCTGTTCTGTGGTTACAAATAGAACTCAAAGGTGAGGTCGCACTTGCCCATCTTCTGTTTGTACACCAGGTCGAACTTCTCGTTCATGGAGACGGTGAAGATGTCCTTCCACAGCCCGACTCGTCCTGGAACACAAACACAGGGCCACGGGCGCCTTGGCGACGGCTCTGGGGGGCCCCGGCTCTGGCCCTCGAGCCCTCCAGCCCGGCCCGTCACGGGAGCACAGGCCAGGAGCGCCACAGACCGGCCGGGCCCCTCGTGTTTCCAGGGCTCCTGTGAGTGGCAGCCATGACCTGAACCGACTTTGCCCTTGGCTGCCTCTGCCCACTCGGTGGGACTTCCCGGACCCAGCCCTCAGCCCGCGGGGAGGGGCTTCACCTCCCGCTTTCGGTGGTTGCCACAAGCCGCGTGCATGAGCTCAGGCCGGCCCGAGGGGAGCCTTGGACGGCAAGGCGCCGTGCCCCTCGGGCTCAGCAGCTCGGGCAGGGCATCACGGACCTCTGGAGAGGCTCAGCACAAAGCAAACCACCCAAAGGCAGCCAATGCCGGGGCCTGCGGGCGCTGTCCTGCGGGTCAGGGTGAAGACAGCCCTGGTGGGGGAGGGGGCACTGCATGGAGGGGACACGGCGGCCCCATGACCTGCAGGAGGCCTCAGCTCCGCCCCAGAGTCCCAGCCGCACCCCAGCCTGCTCAGAAAGCCAGGCCGCTCCCCCGCAGCCGTGCCAACGCTGGGCTGCAGGCCACGTGGGGGCACTGGACTGTGCTGGTTTATGAGGGCTTGGGGGAAAGACAGAGAGCAACAGATGTCGCCGACCCCGCTTTCCTTAACCACAGAACCTGAGGCTGGCCAGGTCCACCGGCTGTGGTCGCTCTGAAGATGCCCCAGCCACGGGAGCCACAGGGACCAACGTGCACGCGCACATTCTGTGTGCTGTGGCACCTGTGAGGCCAGCGCTCCGAGCGTCCCCACGAACCCCGGACCGAGGCTGCGGGACCCTGCGAGCACGGAGCTCGAAGACCTGACACCGCGCGGACTGCGTCCATGGCAGTGCCAAGCGGCCTCCCCGTGCTGGCGAGAAGACAGCGAAACCAGAAAGCTGCTCTCTAGTGCCCCGAGGGACGGGCTTAGACGCTCCCAGACCAACCACACGAACGCCATACGTGTCGGTGATCAGCTGAGAGCCCATGGGAGGAGTCACCCACCTGGTTTAGCATTTGCAATCAAGACAAGTTATGCCGGGGCATGAATCAAATGGGAGCAGTGCAGCCGGCTCCTGGAGCCCCTGCACCCTCCCCGCCTCGGCGAGGTCTTCCGAGCAAATGGGCTAAAAGGAAACAAAACCAAAGAACTGAAATAAAGCAAAACCAAGGAGACAATGACAAAGCAGACGCATGCGCGGGAGCCCCTGGAGGTTCATTCATGGATGACAGGACACAGCAAACGCAAAACCGAAAACACACAAATAAACTCTAAATAATAAACACGGGTGAAGATGCAGCCGGAAGACAAACGGCGAGGCGCTGTGGCTCGGTGAGCTCCCCCGGCACCAGTGGACGGCTCCGCCTCCCTGCGGGGGGCGCTGTGCCCCTGGGAGGAGCAGGAAGCTGCAGACCCCCGGGGGGCTCTGCTCCTCTCTTCCCCTCCCTGCACGGGCTGCAGGGGAGCTGGGCCCTCCTCCCCTGGGATGCTCTCCCCCAGAAGTCCCCACACCCCTGGACGGCAGGTATTGGCAGGTATAGACGCTTGCCTATCGGGACCAGGGCCAACCTGTGATTCGCCCCTGTGGCTTCAAGGCCCAGCCCTCCCAGCATCCACTGCTGGGAACCCCAAGGGAGGGGGTAGCGGACTCAGGCCGAGCAGGAGGACTCCTGCCTGGACCACATCCCCATCTCCAATGGCCTCACGCCCACACCCACCACCTGCCGGGTCCAGGAAGAGACGGTGCCTCCTCCTGTGGCTGCACAGAATTCCCCAGGGCAGCGAAAGGCCGAGGAGCCCAGCTGCAGTGCACTGGGAAACCCGGTGGCACTCAACCCTCGCCCTGGCGTGCTCTGTGGGCACTGGATCCCGGCCATCCGGGAAGGCTTCTGGGGGAAACCTCTTGCACACCAGCCCGGACCATCCCCAGCAGCGCCCCGCGGCGGGCTGGATGATGCAAACACCAGCGCGTGGGGCAGGGGCTGCTCCGCTGCCCAGGCACTGACCAGCAGCCTGCAGGTGACCTTCTCACCCTGGCAAAGCACAAGGGGCAACAGAGGTCCAGGAGGCCCGGGGCACCATGGGAGGAGGACGAGGAGAGGAAGACGGGCTGGGCGGGCGAGCCAGGGAGGGACACGTACCCTGGCCCATGGGCAGGGCCTCAGGGAGGGGGACGAGGAGAGGAAGACGGGCTGGGAGGCGAGCTGGGCACGGCAGGGAGGGACACGTACCCCGGCCCACGGGCAGGGCCTCGGCGTTGCAGCACTGGTCCACCAGCTGGTGGCAGTGCTCAATCAGGGACTCCAGCTGGGCCTTGTCGCAGGGCACCCCCAGGAATCTGGCCAGCTGCTCCACCATCGTCACCAGGTCCTGCGAGCCAAGGGCAGAGGGAGGGCGGCCATCAGCGGCAGGACGAGACCTGGCTGGGCACAAGCTAGGGCCAGGCTGTCAGAGCCCCGTCGGGCTCAGCTCACAGCAGCAGAAGCGGCTCCAAGGGGAGCCCGGGAGCAGGAACGAGGTCTTTTTTTTTTTTTTTGACAGGCAGAGTGGACAGTGAGAGAGAGACAGAGAGAAAGGTCTTCCTTTGCCGTTGGTTCACCCTCCAATGGCCGCCCCGGCAGGCGTACTACACTGATCTGAAGCCAGGAGCCGGGTGGTTCTCCTGGTCTCCCATGGGGTGCAGGGCCCAAGCACTTGGGCCATCCTCCACTGCACTCCCTGGCCACAGCAGAGGGCTGGCCTGGAAGAGGGGCAACCGGGACAGAATCCGGTGCCCCGACCGGGACCAGAACCCGGTGTGCCGGCGCCGCAAGGCGGAGGATTAGCCTAGTGAGCCGCGGCGCCGGCTGGCACGAGGTCTTGACAGAGCCGTGGCGATGCTTTCAACAGCAGCAAGACGTCCAGCCGTCCTTGCAACCGTGCAAGAGCAGGAGCAGGCGGACTCCCTCGCTCTCCCTGCACCCGGGCAGCTGGACCCTGGGCTGGCCCTGGGGAGAGCCCCCCCCAGGCCTGTGGCCTCCCCACAAGAAGCTGGACAGACACAGCGACACCCCCTCCCCCACTGCAAGTGCAGCCTCCCAGACACACACCTGCTCGCCACAACCCCGCCCCCCAGCCTTCAGGACCCTGAGCGCCACCAGGAAGTCCCCAAACACAGGAAAACGCTGAAGGGGGTTTCCTCTGCTGAAGGTTTCCAAAGAAACCCCCCACCCTGCACATGCAAGCCTCAGAGAGCCCTGCCACCTACCCGGGCCCCTCTGAAGCAGCCTCCCAGGCCGCAGGGCAGAGCCTCTGCAGCACCGACCTGGAGTGCTCCCTCCCGCCTGGGAGCACCAACCCTGGAGTGCTCCCTCCCGCCTGGGAGCACCGACCCTGGAGTGCTCCCTCCCACCTGGGAGCACAGGGACCCTGGAGCGCTCCCTCCCGCCTAGGAGCACAGGGACCCTGGAGTGCTCCTTCCCGCCTGGGAGCACCAACCCTGGAGTGCTCCCTCCCGCCTGGGAGCACAGGGACCCTGGAGTGCTCCCTCCCGCCTGGGAGCACCAACCCTGGAGCGCTCCCTCCCGCCTGGCAGCACAGGGACCCTGGAGTGCTCCCTCCCGCCTGGGAGCACAGGGACCCTGGAGTGCTCCCTCCCACCTGGGAGCACCAACCCTGGAGTGCTCCCTCCCACCTGGGAGCACCAACCCTGGAGTGCTCCCTCCCGCCTGGGCAGCACCAACCCTGGAGTGCTCCCTCTCGCCTGGGCAGTGCAGGGACCCTGGAATGCTCCCTCCCGCCTGGGCAGCACCAACCCTGGAGCGCTCCCTCCCGCCTGGCAGCACAGGGACCCTGGAGCGCTCCCTCCCGCCTGGCAGCACAGGGACCCTGGAGCGCTCCCTCCCGCCTGGGAGCACAGGGACCCTGGAGTGCTCCCTCCCGCCTGGCAGCACAGGGACCCTGGAGTGCTCCCTCCCGCCTGGGAGCACCAACCCTGGAGTGCTCCCTCCCGCCTGGCAGCACAGGGACCCTGGAGCGCTCCCTCCCACCTGGGAGCACAGGGACCCTGGAGTGCTCCCTCCCGCCTGGGCAGCACCGACCTGGAGTGCTCCCTCCCGCCTAGCAGCACAGGGACCCTGGAGTGCTCCCTCCCGCCTGGCAGCACAGGGACCCTGGAGTGCTCCCTCCCGCCTGGCAGCACAGGGATGCGACAGAAGTCAAGGGAGTGCTCAGAAGAGAAGAGCGAGCCTCCCCGCCTGCCGCTGCACGCTCTGTGGAAAGGACGTAAAGCGCCCGGGAGGGGCCGGCACCGGGGTGCAGTAGGCTAAGCTGCCACCTGCAGTGCCGGCATCCCACACGGGCACTGGTTCAAGTCCCGGCTGCTCCTCTTCCCATCCAGCTCTCTGCTTTGACCTGGGAAAGCAGGGGAAGATGGCCCAAGTCCTTGGGCCCCTGCACCCACGTGGGAGACCTGGAAGAAGCTCCTGGCTCCTGGCTTTGGATCAGCACGGCTCCAGCCATTGCAGCCAACTGGGGAGTGAACCAGTGAATGGAAGATTTCTCTCTCTCTGTCTCTCCTTCTCTGTAACTCTGAATCTCAAATACATAAATAAATTCTTTGGGGAGAAAAAAAGGAAAGTGCTTCCCGTGGAGGTCAAGCTGAGCGCACGCTCGCCAGCAGGAGTGGGGGGCCCCTGGCCCAGGGGAAACAGGTGCCCGACGGCAGGTGCCTGTCGGCAGCAGCAACACGAAGGACCACGAGCCCTACACACGACAGCCGCGGAGTCGCTGCGTGACTTTTCTCCCCCACCCCTCCCCGGGACACCTCGGGACCCAACCCACAAAGCGGGGGCCCTGACGCTGCCCTCGCAGACTTCTGAGCGTGGGCTAGACAACGCAGGGCAGGGCCTGCCTCATCCAGCAACAACACCCGCTGGTCCCCTTCCCTGCACCCGCGTGGGGGACCCTGAAGACACTCCTGGCTCCTGGCTTCAGGCTGGCTCAGCTCCAGCCGTTGTGGGCATTTGGGGAGTGAACCAGTGAATGGAAGACACCCCCCACCCCCCAACACTAACTCTACCTCTCAAATAAAAAAAAAGAGAGATCCAGCAGAAACCTGCCCCCCCCCCAGCCCCCAGGCAAGGCTGCAGCTGGCCCCTGAGCACAGACCTGGGGAAGGCAGCGCAGCCTGGCAGGACAGTGTGCTGCGGTGACAGCCGCCTCCGGGGGCTGCGACCCTGGGCCCAGTCCTTGATACAGCCGACCACTGCCTGCGGGCCAGCCCCCCCACTGCTGGGGACCGGCCCAGAGATCAAGAGCACGGATCCCCCCAGAACACAGCCGTCTTCATGGCGGCCTCATTCAGGATCACCCGGAGTGGATATGAACAGAGCCCCTCGTGTGGCGGGCACCGGTGGTGTGGCCACGGACACGATGGAGCCGCCAGGGGCAGAAAGGGCAGGAGGGGGGCAGCTGAGGTCCCCCTGGAGGCAGGGCCCACAGGACGTGGCAGGCCTGACGTGGGTGCCAAGGCCGACAGCAGTGTATCAGTCACGGAGGGCGGCACTGCGGCCACCCGCCCAGGCAGGGCGTCTCCAGCTCAGTGTGGGTGTGGCCGTCTGGGATTTCTCCCAGCCACTCGGGGAGACCTGTGTCTGGGAGGCCCCACGGCTGGCCTGGGGCCCCTGCGGCTGTGCAGTGAGCAGAGAAGGGACGAGACTGGACTGGGGGGCTGGGGGGGAGGGGCAGTGCCTGCTACTGGCGCCATCTGGCCAGGGAGGAGGGGAGGGGTGAGCAGAGGATGGAGGATACAGACAGCGGCCGCTCCAGATGCTGCCAGAAGCCCGCATGAGAGGACCCAGGCCCCGGCAGTGGCCCCAGCACCATGAGGTCCCCAGGGACCCTGACACAGCGGGCTCAGGAGAGGAGGAGGGGATCCAGGAGCGGAGTGGGCTCTGGGGCTTCCAGGGCAGGGGGGCCAGCTCTGCTGCCCACGTGTCTAAAGCAGCAGAAATGGCAGCTGGAGGGCACGGCAGCGTGCGGGGGCAGCGGCCGGGTCGGGCCACAGTCTCCGTGTCGGCCGCAGTTCTGCTTCTGTTACGGCACTAGAGTAAAGGACGGGGCTTCCCACGGCGCTGCACCTCGTGAGCCACCTGGAAACGGCGCCAGGAGCCCAGGCCAGCCAGAGGGACTTGGACGGATCACGGGTGGAGGCCTTAGCCCTGCCCGGGGGTCCTGGACACAGCACGGACCCCTCAGTGTCCACAGGTCCAGGGAGGGCACTGGGGGGCAGAGCCAGGCCCCCGGGGACGCCCGCGCCCGCGGCACTCGCCCGGTGCACGTCTTCTGCGGGGGCAGAGCCAGGCCCCCGGGGACGCCCGCGCCCGCGGCACTCGCCCGGTGCACGTCTTCTGCGGGGGCAGAGCCAGGCCCCCGGGGACACCCGCGCCCGCGGCACTCTCCCGGTGCACGTCTTCTGCGGGGGCAGAGCCAGGCCCCCGGGGACGCCCGCGCCCGCGGCACTCACCCGGTGCACGTCTTCTGCGGAGGCAGAGCCAGGCCCCCGGGGACGCCCCACCGGCACTCACCTGGTGCACGTCTTCTGCGGGGGCAGAGCCAGGCCCCCGGGGACGCCCGCGCCCGCGGCACTCGCCCGGTGCACGTCTTCTGCGGGGGCAGAGCCAGGCCCCCGGGGACGCCCGCGCCCGCGGCACTCGCCCGGTGCACGTCTTCTGCGGGGGCAGAGCCAGGCCCCCGGGGACGCCCGCGCCCGCGGCACTCGCCCGGTGCACGTCTTCTGCGGGGGCAGAGCCAGGCCCCCGGGGACGCCCGCGCCCGCGGCACTCGCCCGGTGCACGTCTTCTGCGGGGGCAGAGCCAGGCCCCCGGGGACGCCCGCGCCCGCGGCACTCACCCGGTGCACGTCTTCTGCGGGGGCAGAGCCAGGCCCCCGGGGACGCCCGCGCCCGCGGCACTCACCCGGTGCACGTCTTCTGCGGGGGCAGAGCCAGGCCCCCGGGGACGCCCGCGCCCGCGGCACTCGCCCGGTGCACGTCTTCTGCGGGGGCAGAGCCAGGCCCCCGGGGACGCCCGCGCCCGCGGCACTCACCCGGTGCATGTCTTCGTACTTGAGGAACAGCACGTTCCCGTCCATCCGGTGCTCCCAGAACTCCTGCACGTGCTCGAACCAGGAGCCGTAGCCCACTGCGGAGAGAGGCAGGTGGGCCTTAGCGGGCAAGCACACGTATGGGGCCTGCACCCCGCCCTGCACGGGGCCCGCGCCCGCCCAGGCGAGGGAGGAGCAGGCCGCTGGAGGAGCCCCTGGCCCTCGGCCCCCTCTACCTTTCAGGAGCCTTGAAAAGTGGACTGGGCAGCGAGGCGCCCGAGGCTGTGGGACCCACGGTACCAGCCGGGCGGGTTTCAACATTACCCCGGGGGCCGGGCTGTGGCACAGCAGGTTAAACCACTGCCAGTGTCCCTAGCTTCCCCTGTGGTCACTGGTTCCAGTCCCAGCTTCTCCGCTTCCAATCCAGCTCCCTGTTACAGGCCTGGGAAGTGAAAGATGGCCCAAGTGCTTGGGCCCCTGCACCCATGTGGAGGACCCAGATCTAAGGAGTGAACCAGCAGATGGAAGATCTCTTTCTGTCTCTCCCTCTGTATAACTCGCAAATAAATAATAGTATCTTTAAAAAAAAAATTACCCTGGCTCACCACCAAGCCAGAGGTGGACAGGACAGGAACAAGCCCAGAGGGAGGGGGACCACAGGAGGTGGGGGTGGCGAGAGGTATTGAGGACAGGAGGAGAAGCTGGGGACAGGAGGAGGAGCTGGGGGCAGGAGGAGGAGCTGGGGGACAGAGGAGAAGCTGGGGGCAGGAGGAGGATCTGGGGCAGGAGGAAGAGCTGGGGCAGGAGGAGCTGGGGGCAGGAGAAGGAGCGGAGGACAGAGGAGGAGCTGGGGGCAGGAGAAGCTGGGGGCAGGAGGAGCTAGGGGCAGGAGGAGAAGCTGGGGGCAGGAGGAGGAGCTGGGGGCAGGAGGAGCTGGGGGCAGGAGGAGGAGCTAGGGGCAGGAGGAGCTGGGGGCAGGAGGAGGAGCTGGGGGCAGGAGGAGCTGGGGGCAGGAGGAGGAGCTAGGGGCAGGAGGAGCTGGGGGCAGGAGGAGAAGCTGGGGGCAGGAGGAGGAGCTGGTGGCAGGAGGAGAAGCTGGGGACAGGAGGAGGAGCTGGGGGCAGGAGGAGGAGCTGGGGGCAGGAGGAGGAGCTGGGGAAGGAAGAGAAGCTGGGGGCAGGAGGAGGAGCTGCGGGCAGGAGGAGGAGCTGGGGCAGGAGGAGCAGCTGGGGGCAGGAGGAGGAGCTGGTGGCAGGAGGAGAAGCTGGGGGCAGGAAGAGAAGGTGGGGGCAGGAGAGGAGCTGGGGGCAGGAGGAGGAGCTGGGGGCAGGAGGAGGAGCTGGGGGCAGGAGGAGGAGCTGGGGCAGGAGAGGAGCTGGGGGCAGGAGGAGGAGCTGGGGGCAGGAGAGGAGCTGGGGGCAGGAGGAGGAGCTGGGGCAGGAGGAGAAGCTGGGGGCAGGAGGAGGAGCTGAGAGGCTCACAGGGTCCCCGGAGCCCACCCACATCTGCCCCCATGCGGCACCCAGCCTGCTTGGAACGGCTGCTCATAGGCACCAGGGTCACTCACCCACCGCGGTTCCCAGCACCTGGTCCCAGCCAGGCTCTCCGCAGTGCTCAGGGGCCTGGTGAGGGACAGTGGGGCAGGCGGCACCCGGCAGCACAGCACGTCCACACGGCATCCCCACACGGCATGGGTGTCACCGTGACCCCGTCTACACAGCGTCCCCACACAGCATGGGTCACTGTGGCTCCGTCGACAGTGTCTCCACACGGCATTGGTCACTGTGACCCCGTCTACACAGCGTCCCCACATGGCATGGGTCATCCCCACATGGCATTGGTCACTGTGACCCTGTCTACACAGTGTCTCTACACGGCATGGGTCACTGTGGCTCCATCTACACAGCGCAGCGTTCCCGGAACATGGAATGGGTCACCGTGACCAAGTCTACACAGCGTCTGCACATGGCATGGGTCACTGTGGCTCCGTCTATACAGTGATTCTACATGGCATGGGTCACCCGTCTATACAGCATAACCCACACGGCCTGGGTCACTACGACCCCATCTACACAGCGTCCCTACATGGGATGGTTCACTGTGATCCCGCCTACTCTGTGTCCCCATGTGGCAAGGGTCACCAGGAGCCTGTCTACACAGCTCCCCCGTGTTGTACACCGCACCTGGCGGGGTGACCCCAGGTTCCTCCTCCTTATTGGGGCCCTTTACCGGGGTCTCCGCCTCCCCACCGGACCGGGACATGCCACAGTCACCTCGTGCCTCCTGCGTGTTACTCCCCACTTCTCTACAGCGTCAGCAAATACCAACAGGCTGCCCAGGATTTGTGCAGTGGAACCGAGGCACGGGTGCGTGGTGGCCTTGACTTCCGTGGGGGCCATGTGCCGTGACCCTGACCACGTGCCGAGGCCTACAATGGCCAACAGAAGCTGTGAGCCCCACTCCCCAGTGGTCTGAGTGTGGCCTCCCATGCTGCTCATGGGGGCACAGTCCCCCCACATCCCCCGGCTTCTACAGTGGCCACAGTGTGAGCTGGCCCTTAAGGAATGGTTTTAGGAACCATGTGAGTGGCCAGCAGGGATGTCCCGGAGGGCAGGTGGCTAGGGGAGGAGGGCCTTTAGCAGGTGCCGTGGCCTCGGCCCCAGGTGCAGCCAACCCAGAATCCCCAGGGGCGTGAGGTCCTGGAGGTGGGTCGTTAGAGCCACACACTGCAGCACCAAGAGCCCACAAGGCTCTCCTCTCTGGCTCGGCCTGGGGCTCTGTCCTGACCATGTCGCACGCTCTCCTCAACGAGTCCGAGAGGCCACACTCGGCAACATGGCCAAACAGCACTGCTGCCGGGACAGGAAGGGGCAAATGCGGTTCCAGACGTGGGAGCCACCTGGCCCCACTGCACGCTGGGTGCACCCCACACACTACCCATGAGAGGTCCCCGACACCCAGGGGCCACCTTGGGAGGGGACGGGCAGCCAGCAGGGTGAAGAGAGTGAGAGAGCCGAGGGCAGCTGCTTCCTCCCTGCCCTACGCCCCCGCCTTCCCCCGAGAGCAGTGGGTGCCAACCCTCCTCCCTGCGGGTTCTGTCCCATGGTCGCGGACACAGCCCGGCCGCAGCCCCAGCCCACCCTCCGGCCTCTGTGAGTGACAGCAGTGACTTTGGGCCTCCGGTCTCCTGTTTCCATTCTTGTCTTGTCCCGAGCCCAGGCAGCAAAGAGGGGTGTTTAATGGGGGGCCTTCGCAGAAGCCCCAGGAGCGTGGTGGGAGTGCAGGACTCTGGGGACAAGGGACCGGCTCTGCCACAAGTGGGCCCCACGACCTATACCAGCCTCCCGTGGGGGACGGCCAGAAGCGGGGGCAGCGCGGCCCTGGTGGGGATACTCACGCTTGTCATTCATGAACCTCCGGCAGAACTCCTGGAAGGTGCCCCGGTAGCTCATGGTGCGCAGCGAGCGGTGGAACTGGTAGTAGGATACCACCAGGTCCTTGGGGTTGCGAGCCATGTAGATGACCTGCGGGCAGCAGGGACAGTCAGGGACTTCCACGTCCAGGCCCAGCCGACCCGCCAGCCTGCTTTGCCGCGGCCCCTTCCCAGGGTGGACGCCGCCGCGTGACAGCGCCTGCAGGCTGTGCATGTGGGTGTTCCACCGCACTTCTGTCCCCTGCACCAGCTCCACATCAGTGAGACACACACAAGGGACACCCCTGACACCAGTGGCCTCACATACGCAACGCGGCTGAGGAACGGCGGTCGCCCGTGTGACCGGGACCCTCGAGCCCGGCAGCCCACACTGGCTGCAGCTCGCCCCAGGCACGTCTGGGGGACGAGAAAACCCACAGCTGGAACAGCTGGCCCAAGGCAGCCTCTAAGCCCAGGCAGGCAAGAGGCATGGGGAGGGCCGGAAGCCTTACCTTGGAGTCCCCGTTGTGGAGGTCGGAGGGCAGGAAGCGGTAGGGGAGGTGGCTCTTGATGAGGCGTGGAGACGTCAGCTCCTGTGGGGCCAGAGGACAGGATCAGGGAGGACCCGGGCTCAGGGATGACCCAGGCGCAGGGAGGACCCAGGATCAGAGGGGACCCAGGATCAGGGAGGACCTGAGCTCAGAGAGGACCCAGGGTCAGGGAGGACCCGGGGTCAGGGAGGACCCACGATCAGGGACAACCCAGGGCTCAGAGAGGACCCGGGCTCAGGGAGGACCCGGGCTCAGAGAAGACCCAGGATCAGAGGGCACTGGCTCAGAGAGGACCCAGGATCAGAGAGGACCCGGGCTCAGGGAGGACCTGGGCTCAGGGAGGATCTGCGGTCAGGGAGGACCCAGGCTCAGGGAGGATCCAGGCTCAGGGAGGACCCACAATCAGGGAGGACCCAGGGCTCAGAGAGGACCCAGGGTCAGGGAGGACCCATGATCAGGGAGGACCTGGGCTCAGAGAGGACCCAGGGTCAGGGAGGACCCGGGCTCAGGGAGGACCGGGGCTCAGAAAGGACCCGGGCTCGGACAGGACTCAGGATCAGAGAGGACCCAGGCTCAGGGAGGACCCGGGCTCAGGGAGGACTCAGGCTCAGAGGACTCAGGGTCAGAGAGGACCCGGGCTCAGGGAGGACCCGGGCTCAGGGAGGACCCGGGCTCAGAGGCACTGGCTCAGAGAGGAGGCAGCCGCAGTCCCACAGGCCCCTCTCAGGGCCTTTCTGTCAGGCAGGGTGCGTGAGGAGCTGTAGGGCCCAGCCCGTCACTGGCCGGCTCCCCACCATGACAAACTGGAGAACCGTGCACCCCGCAGGGAAGTGGGTCCCTGTCCTCAGCCTGCCAGTCACAGGCGTCTGCCGAGTGGACCTGGGAGCCGGTGCTCTGGTCTGGAGTGGCCAAGGCAGAGGAAGCACAAGGCACAGGCGTGGCCCCGCCCAGCGCGCTCCACTCCCGCCTGCCCTCGGCCCCGCACACAGCAGCCAGGCTGAGCCAGCCACACACGGATGGCTCCCACGGCTCCCCAGAGCCCCTCGGAGAATAAGCCTGGTCCTCACATGGACGTCCCACTGCCCGGAAGGAGCCGGGCCCCCCGACCCAGGCCTCTGCACCCACCGGTCCCCCAGTCTCCTCTCGGGCACCCTCTAGTGCCACATGACTTCCTGTCCTGTGCGGCCGTGACGCGATGCTGTTGGTTCCCCGCTGTGCCCCGGTGCCAAGAGCAGCGCCTGGCATGCAGTGGGCACTGAATGGCTCCCTGAGTGACTCAACACGGGGGAGCCGGGCACAGGAGTGGGGCAAAGGCGAGGCCAGGCGCAGAGACCGGCTCTCTCGGGACGAGCTCAGAGCTTGCTCCAGGGTGCGGGAGGGTGGGCAGGTGAACAGAGGCCTGAACTAAAGACACGCGGGGGCGGGGGGTGGATGGTGGAGAGGGAATTCCAGGTCCATGAGAGGGCAGAGGGGCAGGGGATGACACCTCGCAGTCCTGACACCACCCATCTGCTGCCAGCACCCCAGCTCCAGCACAGAGGGCGGCCCAGGCGCTCACCCAGCCCCACCCCCACTCCCTGCCATCCCCCTCCTTCCTGCTCTGCGGAAGCCCTGACCCGCACCGGCACCCACACCTGGTCAGACTGCAGGGTCACGGTCATGCTCACACCTGCCAGTCCCTCTCCTGGCTGTCGGGGCCACCTGGGAGCCCTCTGCTCCCCACTCCCACCCCTGCCCCCACAAGCCCCGTGGAAGCAGCTGTCACTCACCTTGATGATGTCCAGGCCGGGCTGCGGGTACTCCAAGACCGGAAGCTGCTCGTCGATGTTCATCAGGCCGATCTCGTCGGGGTCGGCTCCCTGACTGACCAGGTAGACCACCTCCTGCAGCAAGCTCGTGCCTGGGAGAGAAGCCACATCGAAGTGCGCTCAGAGCAGGCACAGGGCCTGGCTCTCCACTCAGCGGCGACCGGGGCCCAGGGGCGGGGCGGGGCGGGAGCGAGTTGAGTTTGGCAAGAGAGGGCTGGGTCAGGTGCAAGATCTGAGCCCAAACCCCACCAGTTTCTCGAGGCTGTGAGAAGCGGGCAGGACCAGAGCCCACTGCACCAGGGCCTCACGGGGGCACCGGGTGGCCGGCTCAGCCCGAGGCTCCAGGCATGACCGGAGCGGGAGGGAGAACTTCCAGCTACTGGTGCTCGCGGTGGAACTGTGTCTGCTCCTGTCTATTAAAGCCGAAGCTCCGAGAAATCTACTCCCAAGTCTACAGAGACCCGGGGCTTGCTTCCGACAAGTTCTAGAATCATCTCAGCCACACCGCTCATGAGACAGCCGACGGCTGGAAACACAAACGCCCAACAAGAGGCAGCAGGGAGCCCGATGACCGCCCGACCATGATGAGGACGTGGGCCCCCCGCTGCGCACAGCACAGCCGACAGCGGGCTCTCTCGCCGTCGGTGATGGCTTCCACCGCTCTAGGCTCAAGAAGGGGTGAGACGGGGTGACAGTGGCAGAGGGGAGACACTAAGTCAGGGAAGACGCAAGGGAGACCCCAGGGCCTAGAGTCACCACCTTTGTCTGGGCCAGCTACACGTGACACCCATTAAAATGAGAACAGCACCCCCCGCCTCCGTGTCTGCCCAGCCTGGCGAGCACAGCCCGCTCCCCATGGCTGTGGCCCCAGGCCCCCAGGTCCCCACTAACAGCAGAGGGGGCTCCGGGAGGCAAGGGCGCTCAAAGGGCTGCACACCTGCTGACCCTGTCTCCCTCCTGGCCAGTGAGCACTGCAGCTGGGAGCCCCTGCTGGGACCCAGGCTCGGGGACGATGGGCTGAGGCCCAGGCCGCTCTGAGCTTCCCCCGCTCAGACCCAGGCTTCGCACCCCTGCCCAGCGAAGCCCTCTGAGCTCTGCACACCTACTGGGCTCCCGGCTTCCTCCCACGCAGAATCCGGCATCTCCACCACCGACCACCCTGGGCACACAGGTCCTGTATCTGGGCCCCATGGGACCAGAGCCAGCCAGGACCAGAGAGAACTCCCAGGGAGGATGTGGCTCTCTGGACACGTCCAGCACCACCCAAACAGGCGCCCAGCGAGCCAGCCCTCCCCAGCCCCACCCTGCGGCCCCCGGAACAAGTGGACACGGCTCAGCACGCCTGCCCCTTCACTGCCGGGACTCCAGCTCTGGCCCTGGCTCCTCAGTGCTCACGGCCCAGCCCGGCTGCTCCCCAGTGCAAGTGGCACACCCCCTCCTCACGTCTCAGGTCCCAGCACCCTGCCAGGGTGTCTGGAGCTGACCCCTCCTACCCTGGGTCACGCCCGAAGCACTTCCCATGAGGGCACCACACAGCCCTGCACTAACAGGGCAGTGAGGCCACACGGCTGCCCACCGAGGGCCCTCCAGGGGCTGTGCACGTTCCAGCAGGCGGAGAGCCCCCTGCCCACTGCTCTCCTGGCCCCTGCACTCCTCTGCTGCGCGCCCAGCCTCCTCCTGCCTCAGGCTGTCAGCATTTGCTGTCCCTGATGGGACCCTCCCCCAACCTTCCTTCCTATGCCTACTCCAACGTCACCCCGTCAGCAGGGGCTGCCCATCACCCTCCCATCCTGCGTCCTGCCCCTGCCTGGGAGCAGCCTGCCCGTTCCCTTCTCTGCTCGCACCCCCACCCTGCAGGACGGTTCTGCCGGCTCTTGTTCTTTGTCACACAGCAAGAGCCTACACCCAGGGGCAGGTGCTGTGACGTAGCAGGTAAAGCCTGCAGTGCCGGCATCCCATATGGGTGCCAGTTCAAGTCCCAGCTGCTCCACTTCCAATCCAGCTCTCTGCTGTGGCCTGGGAAAGCAGAAGAAGATGGCCCAGGTCCTTGGGCCCTGCACCTGCATGGAAAGACCTGGAAGAAGCTTCTGGCTCCTGGCTTCAGATCAGCGCAGCTCAGGCTGTTGTGTCCATCTAGGGAGTGAACCAGTGGATAGAAGACCTCTCTCTCTCTCTTTCTCTCTGCCTCTCTGTAACTCTGCCTTTCAAATAAATAAATAAATCTTTAAAAAAAAAAAGAAAAGAAGTCTGCACCTAGCCACGCCCAACTGAGGTTTCCCCAACCTACAACCAGGGCCAGCTGTAAGGAATCCCCACACACAGGGAGCTGAAAACCACAGGGATTCCCCGCCCCCTGCCATGCCGAGGGCCCGCCCACCTGCCTGCCCCTCACCTTCCCCACCTATCCCAAACCACAGGGACTCCCCGCCCCCTGCCATGCCGAGGGCCCGCCCACCTGCCTGCCCATCACCTTCCCCACCTATCCCAAACCACAGGGACTCCCCGCCCCCTGTCACACTGAGGAGGGCCCGCCCACCTGCCTGCCCATCACCTGCCCCACCTATCCCAAACCACAGGGACTCCCCACCCCCTGCCACGCCGAGGGCCCCCCCACCTACCTGCCTATCCCAAACCACAGGGACTCCCTGCCCCCGTCACACTGAGGAGGGCCCGCCCACTGCCTGCCCATCACCTGCCCCGGCACTCAGGGACCGAGGGCTCCGCCCGTCAGGCTCCAGGCTGGCCCTGGGAGTCTGAGGAGACCCGGCCCCTGCCTCCCTCTTCCAGGAAAGGGAGGGGACGTCGGCCAGGGGACCTGCGCAGGGCCAGAGAGGCTCAGCCCCGACATTGCGACTTCCAGCACCTGAGTCAGGACGGGCCGCACGGGCTGGGACGGCTCACATGCAGGACACCCTGCAGGTGACAGGCTGGCTGCCACACGGGCACCTCTGACACGCACCCCACTGCTGACAGGGACAAGACGTCCTAGTGCATGTTCACATCCCCTGTGTAGCAGAGCAGGTGCAGCAAGGGCCGGGTGGGGGGCAGGGCAGGCAGGGCAGTGAGGCCCATGCTGGCCACACAGAGCACGGCACATGCAGGGGTCACGGGGCAGCAGTCCCCCCAACACACAAGACGCCGAAGGCAGAAGAGGGGACTGTGCAGCTAGGGAGTGGCAGCACGGGGCGGGGGGAAGCGGCTCCCCCAGCTGCAGCTCCGGGGGCGGAGGCCAGCCCGGTTCCCTGGCAAACCCAATCCCAGCAGTGGGAGCCAGGCTGTCGGAGCAGAGCCCTGGGACAGCAGGCAGGGCAGGGCTGCCTCGCTGGCCACCAACACCAGCCACACAGGCTCTGTCGTGGCGGGCTGGAGGCCGTGGTTCCCAGAGCTGCTTCTGCTGACACAGCAGAACACCCACCAGATCAACACTCCAGGGCGGCCGGCGGTGTGCTCTGGGCGGGGAGCCAGTGGAGTCCTGGGAGGACCTGCCCCAACCTCGGCACGGCTGCGTGAGCGCCCGCACCAGGCAGGGCGCCCGTCAGAGACCCAGGACCCTGGGAACAGCAGGAAGCCACAGCCCAGGCCAGAGCCGCCGGGGATGGGTCGCAGCCCTTGACTCTCTCCTCTGCCAAAGTCGCCCGGGTGCCTGAAACAGCACAGCGGGTAGAGCCGCCGCTGGCATCGCCAGCACCCCAGGGAGAAGCGCCAGCTTGAGTCTCGCCACTTCCAATCCGGCTCCCTGCTAATGTGCCGGGGAAAGCAGGGGAAGATGGCCCGAGTGCATGGGCCCCTGCACCCACGTGGGAGACCAGAACTCGGGCTCCTGGCTTCAGCCCAGCCCACGCATCCCACGCGAGGTCCTCCCCGGTCTCTTCCCCCTGGCCACTGCCTCCCCTGCAGCTCTGCCACATCCCTTCTTGGTAGCCAAGGACATGGCCATCTTCCTGGGACCCCTCCACGTCGACGCGCCATGTCCCCTGTCCATGTCCCCCTTGTCATCGCTGGGCATCCGGCTGCTTCCAGAGCGTGGCTGGGGACGGAGTCCCGGGCTGCACCCAGCACCAACGGCGTCTGCTCGCCGCCTGGATGGCCATCGAGAACTCTTGGCTCAGGGTCGTAGACATCTTCTGTGTGGGGCTGGAGCCCCTGTCACTTGGTGTGGGACCTTCCATGCAGTCTTTCCTCGGGCACCATGCTGCTGGGGGGAGGGGGAGCCCCTGACTCCCCGCGCTCTGCAAACGCTGGTCCCGGGCGCGTTCTCTCTTCCACGCTCTCTTCATCGTACAGGAGTTTATTCTCCTCCTTGTCTCTGGCTCCTAGTTCTCAACATCCTGCAGAACAGGGGCCGGCGCCATGGCAGAGTGGGCTAAGCCTCTGCCTGCAGCACCACCGTCCCACGTGGGTGCCAGTTCAAGTCCTGGCTGCTCCTCTTCCTGTCCAGCTCTCTGCTATGGCCTGGGAAAGCACTAGAAGATGGTCCAAGTGCTTGGGCCCCTGCACCCACATGGGAGACCCAGAGGAAGCTCCTGGCTCCTGGCTTCAGATCAGCGCAGTTCTGGCCATTGCAGCCATCTGGGGAGTGAACCAGCAGATGGAAGACCTCTCTCTCTGTCTTTCCCTCTGTCTGTCTGTAAGTCTACCACTCAAATAAATAAAAATCTTAAAAAAAAAAAAGATTCTGCAAGAACTCGCTCCACTCCCTGGGACGCACCCTCTGCTTCACCGTCCTCACGCTAGAGGGGTTAAGGGTCCAACTTTCCCACCTCGGATTCCCCAGTCTCTCCTGCTCTTTGCCAGTCCCTCTCCCCTCCCTGTGCGGGAAGCATTCAGCTCCTCTGCTCCTCCCCTCCCAGATTCCTGAGTTCTTCCTTCTACATTTAGTTTTGTCTTCCTGCTGGAGACGTTTTTCCCGGAGGCTGGGGCGCCTCTCCTGGGGATACCACGTGTCTGAGAGCAGTCCACGGCGGCTCATCGCCACGGCAACACCACGGCAACAGTTACAGGGCGGGGCCAGCACTGCCAACCTACAGCGTCAGCATCCCATATGGCCACGGGTTCAAGTCCCAGCTGCTCCACTTCCAATTCAGCTCCCTGC